TCTGCCCTTGCGCCGGGCAGGGACAGGGCACTAGGGTTGGTTTGTTCCCTCTTTGTTTTCTTTGTTTTTCTGGTTCTCTCTCACCCTGGTTGCCTCGCACCAGGAGATGCCGTGAGCCTCGGGACGAGCTCCTGCTTGGCACCTGGCACCTCCCAGGAGGCCAGGTTTGGTTTGTCGGGCGTTTCCTTACTCAGCCTCAAACCATCAGGCTCTAGCATTGGAGCTGCGGGTGAGGTGTTTGCAAAACTCCTGCTGGCCCCAGAGGTCCTTTCCGCAGCTGTGCCAAGCCATGGCATCCCTGATCTCACAGCTTTGCTTCCTGACGGCCGCCCCGACACTGTCCTGCTCGTGGCCGGGGGACACTCGTGGCACACAACTGGTTTTTGGCTGCGAAAACAAGGAGGAGGCTGAAGGTCACTCTTGGCCGGCACGGCGTGTTGGGCTGTGGCTGTATCCTGAGTCCCTGCAGTGCCAAGAGTGGGAGTGACGGCTCCCTGAGCTGGTGGGGTGCTGGGCTGGCCGGCGGGACCGTGCACGCCGGTGAAGTGTTCCGGCGATGGCAGATCCACTCTGGGCACTGCAGGGCAAGGTAGTGTAGCCCTGGCACTGGCGGTGGGGCAGGATGTGCCCCACACCCCTGCCAGCTGCTCCATGTGTCAGAGAGCCAGGCCAGCACTTCTCTCTGGAGCAATGGTGATGCTTTTCACAGCACCTCTTTACAGGATAGAACTCAGAGAGAAGTGACCAAGCGCCAGTGCCGTTGTTGGCAAAGCTGAGCGCCGCAAAGAAAACACGCGTGGAAGGTCGTTCCCTCTGGGTTTAGCCTTTGCTCCTGTCCTCTGTGTCGTGGCTCAGCCACAGCAAATTAAGGGATGCCCTGCAGCTCGGGAGCATTCACACAGATCCCAAAGCCTTCAAGGAGCGTGGTGGCCACCCTTCGCTCCCTGACGGCACCTGCTTCGGGCGGCCGGGGCAGCCGTAACCAGCATTCATCACTCAGCAAAGCCATGCAATAGGTCAGGACAGGAATGAAGACAGTTCTCATTCGGTTTCTGCATAGAAATAGCACTGTGAATCCAGGATCCCTGCCTGGGACCCTCCCGGCACATGGAGGCATTTTGTGAAGCAGGGCATGATGTCTCCTGCGCTTCCAGAGGGGTTCGTGCTTGGTGGAATCAAGCGCCTGGTCCTTCCCTGCCGGGGTGGCGAGGTGGCCTGTTTGCTCTTTCAGTTTTGTTTTACCTCATTTTTTTGTTTTATACTTGAAGAAGCGTCAGTGATGGACATTGTGCAGTGGTGCCCTGGACTGGAAAGCGGATGCACTTTATCGTCGCTTGTGTGGGTCCCATCCTGCCTCTGCCCCAGCAAGGTTTCCTTGGTGGCAGCAGAGCCAGGGTGGGCTGGTTCTTCCAAAACCCTTTTGAGGATGTTAGGGAGCAATCTCTGTGTTTTAGTGTGGATTTTCACATACTGTAGAAACTCGAAGTCACGTTCTGTTGTCAGTTGACCCGGTGAAAAATTCAGCTGGAATTGTGCTGGGCAGACTTGCCTGTGCCATGCCAGCGGGAGATGGCGGAGGTTGGGCAGCTTCTGCTTCTCTCCCGTGTGACTCCCCTGTTCCAGTGGGATTACTCTGCTGGAATCTGGAGTTGCCTCAGCCCTGGCAGGCTGCACCGTTCCCGCTGGATCTGCTCCAGCGTCACTTCAGGGCTGCTAATGGAGCAAATTGAAAGTCACCCCCAGTAAAATGACACTAATGTAAAATCTGGAGTTGGTCCACTGGTGTCTTTGCAGGGATATGAAAATGAAGCTCCCCTCTGACAGTGGCACTGGGTTGCTGATGGCAGGATGTGCTTTTTTGGGTTTGTGATGATGCTTTGGAAACAACTTACAGAGAAACGGAGTGAGGAGACGGAGCAGTGTGGTGAGGCCACGGAGATCTGCTCTTGGCTCCCAAAAGCTGGGTTGAAAGGTGCAGTCTCAGGCTGCTTTGCTCATCTGTGAAACCATTGGCATTCTTTTTTCCTTTTTCTTTATGCCTTTTGTCCAAGATAATCATAAAAAAAGAGGAAAAATAAAAAGACCAGGGGCTGGATCCTGTTTTGCAGTATGGGAATCAGTGTTAAGCAAACATGAAAGGTCATGGGCATGAGGGCTGGTGGATCCCAGACTGGCAGGTCTGATCGAGCTCCAGTCACTGCAGAGCCAGCTCTGATCCCAGCCCCAGGCAAGCCAGGGAAATCCCCAGGGATGCCCAGAGCAGCCTCAGGGCACCTGGCTGCACAGTCGGGAGCCTGTGGGGCTGCAGAGGATTTCCTCTGGCTCTGCCCTGGTATCAAAGAGATCTGGACTCCAGCTTGCTGCCCTCAGGACTCTGTCAGAGCAGCTCCAGCGGGATTTCCCCTGTGAGACACGAGCCAAGCCACAGGGTCCCGCCGCAGCTGCTCTCGCAGATACCCAGCCCTTCATGGCTTTGCTTGCCCAGCACTGCTCCCCCTCATCCTCACTCCAGGTCGCTGCACGAGTCGGTGCATCCGCTTTCCCTGGGATCCGGGCACTGTCGCTCCACGGTACTCCCGCCTCGCGCTGAGCCAGCGGCCACGGGGGTGGCCCGGAGATTCCCGGCCGTCCCGACCGCGTGGCCCTTCCATTTAAACTCCGCTCCCTGTTACGTTTGTGTTCGCTATTTTTTTTTTTATCAACCCCCCCCTCTTTTCTTTGAACGTCATAGGAAACCTGTAGTCGGGATTGTTACTATTGGAAACCGATCACATGTTCCATCCAGGTATTTTCATCTCTCCGGCGTTACGCAAAAATAAAGGCCTGAGAGAGAGATATAACCGAACATAGAAGTAGAGTTAGGCTCGTTGTCTGAGTTTTGAGGCATATAGTATAATGGGAGAAGGAAAAAAATTAAAATAAAATAAAATTAAAATGATGATGTTGCACAACTTGTAGAAAACAAAGAAGGGAAAGGGTTAATGTATTAAATGTGCTAAATTACATTAAGAACTTAATTTTATTAAAGTATTATTACTTAAGAAACTTGGTATCCGCTCTCGGTTTCTGTGTGTCCGTGCTTTGGGAGGGGGCAGGAGCAGTGGTTGGGAACAGGGCCCTGGGGGGCCGAGTTCTGGGGTGGTGGGGCCAGGCCTCCCTCTGCTACCCCTCCTGGGTCTCTCATCAGTCCTGTGCCTTTGGCAGCACTTCTCAGGGTTTGTTGGAGCATTTTGAGAGGGTGAGCCCCCTGCACCAGCTGCTGCTCCCAGTCCTGGTGCCAGCAGGTCCATGAGCCACCCTGTGCCACGTTTCACCCTTCCCACTTCTTCATCCCTGCAGAAACCACCTGAAAGCTGGAAAGCCTGGAACAAAACTGAGGTGCTGAGCCCAAAAATATGTCCACGAGCCTAAATGAACTCATCATCCCACACATCCACGCCCGTGCCTGGTTGATGGCACGTCCGAGGGCAGGAAGCCCCAAGGGATGTTTGGCTCAGCCCTGTCCCTCTGAGGAGCCCTTTGGAGCAGCATCCACCTCTCCTGCTGGCAGGGCTGACATCACCTCTTGGCACCACATTTTGGTGTGGGCAGATGGTGTGGGAGGGGGTGGCGCTTGGCAGCTCCAGCTGGTCTGTGTGTTGCCGTAACTGCCAGCTGGGGTGGGCACGGGGCAGAGCCCGGCCCATGGGGCGATGGCCACTGCTCACTTGGGGACAGTCCCCAGGTGTGGTCAGACCCAGGATGCAGCCAAGGATGGGGACAGTCCCCAGCTGTGATCAGACCCAGGATGGGTGCAGCTGCTCCCATGCCCGGTTTGTGCCCCACCACACTGCCCCTGTGCTGGCAGCATGATCCAACCTGCCCTTCTAAGCCTGAATTTCAAGCTCTCCTCTCCAGCCTCCCTGGAGGGCACCCCCTTGCCCAGGTTACAATCACAGCTTCCTCCCTGCCCTCCTCCTCCTCACCCTTCATCGCCTGGGGATGCTGCCCAGCTGCCCTGTGTGGTGCTGGCACCGCTCCTGCCTCAAGGAACTGCCCTGGCAGACAGAGAAAGAGCCTCAACAGCAGCTTTATTTGGGGATTTTGCCTCAATTCCTGTTTCATCAACAAATTGCACCCCAAGGTGAGAGGCTGGCCCAGATCCTGCCAACACAGTCAAGTGAGATGGGGTGATGGGGGGCAGCCACGGAGAGACAGAGACCCCCAGCACTGGTTCAGTGAGGACAGACTCTCCCACTTGCACCAGTCCTGATTGACACCTGCCAATGACGCCTGACAGGTTGGGCTCTGCCCAGTCTGTCCCAGCACCTTGGGAGGTGCCAGCTTGGGGGGTGGCTGCTGCCCTCCAGAGTGGTGACAGGGCCACTTTCACCCTGCGGGTCCAGCAGATGCTCCATCTAATGGCACCGTGTCCCCAGGCTGGGCCACGAGGGCAGTGGCCACCAGTGGCCAAACACTGGAGTGGGGCAGGGTCAACCTGTGCCAGGGGCTCCTGAGAGCGAGAGCTAAGGGGTCCCCCGTGCTGGCACTGGCCCCCACACGGGGAGCTGTGTGGAGGGACCATGTGCTTGCCCTCAGCACCCCATCCATGCCCTCGCCCTCAGCCCCCCAAAGCCCTGGGCCCCCTTTGTCCTCTCCTCGGGGCTCCCCAAAAGCCATGCCCCCCACCCGGAGTCCCTGCTCCCATCTCTTTCCGTGGAAGAGTCACAGCTTTTCCCTTTGCTGTGACGGTGCCTCGAGGGGGTCACAGCATGAAAACAGTGTCACAGCCCACCCCCCTGTCCCCAGCAGCACCCCAGGGGCACTCCCAGCCCTGGGTGCCACAGGGGCAGGGTTGGGTGCAACTGGCTGTGTCGCTGCTGCTTTCACTGGGCGGGACAAAGGTGCACTCGGTGTCCCCCTCCCCACCCACCCCGCGGGGCTGCACCCAGGGCGTCACCAAACAGGGACTCACCAAGTTCAGGCTTGTTCAGTGCCACCCAGTCACTCGGTGACCGTGCCTGCAGGGCTAGAGGCAGCAGGGACACAGGGGATGGCATGTCCCCAGCTATGGGGAGAGAGGGGAGACACCCTGATGCTTTGCCTACCCTCCCCCCACCATTTTTGTAGGTCCTACATAAATACAGGGCAGCGTGAGGTTGTGCACATCAAAAGCAGCTGCCAGCCCGCCCTGCTCAGGGGGCTGCAGGGAGCAAAGGCAGAGGGTGGGACACATGATGCCACCACGTGCTGGGCGGTGGGGGCAGCCCAGGGGCTCAGATGTTCTGGCAGCAGGGGGTCTGCCGGCCCTCCTGCTGCGTGGGCAGCACCCGGATGGGCTCGATGGTGGTGCTGGGGCCGAACTCCGACTCCGGCTGCCCAGTGATCTGCCTCTGGGACACGATGCGGTAGATCTCTGCCAGCAGGGAGAGGAAGGGAAGGGAAAAAACAATGCTTTAAGTATGTATGTCAGTGGGGGACCTGCCCCCTCCCCACACACACAGCTTCAGGGGTACAAATGCCCTCATCTCCCCATCCAGGGAGCAGGATTCCACCCCAAATCCCACCCAGGAGGACACAATGTCGAAAGCCACCCCTATCCCTGCCCCCACTCCCTTTCCTGGTTGCCCCTTACCCGAGAGGATGTTGTGGAAAGCCGTCTCCACGTTGGTGGAGTCCAGAGCAGACGTCTCAAGGAAGGACAGCCCGTTCTTCTCTGCAAGGACAGGGCGAGCTCAGACGGGTCCCGTGAGCTCCAGCCAGATGGGATGGGATGGGATGGGATGGGATGGGATGGGATGGGATGGGATGGGATGGGATGGGATGGGATGGGATGGGATGGGATGGGATGGGATGGGATGGGGGAGGATACCTGCGAAGCTCCTGGCCTCGTCGGTGGGCACGGCCCGCAGGTGCCGCAGGTCGCTCTTGTTGCCCACCAGCATGATGACGATGTTGGCGTCAGCGTGGTCCTGCAGCTCCTTCAGCCAGCGCTCGGCGTTCTCGTACGTCAGGTACTTGGCGATGTCGTAGACGAGCAGAGCTCCCACGGCCCCCCGGTAGTACCTGGGGGACAGCGAGGGGATGGGGTCACAGCAGGGCCCAGGGGTGAGGGCCATGGGTGGGGGAGCAAAGGCAACTCACGCTGAGGTGATGGCTCGGTACCGCTCCTGCCCCGCCGTGTCCCAGATCTGAGCCTTCACCGTCTTGTTGTCCACCTGGATGCTCCTCGTGGCAAATTCCACCCCGATGGTGCTCTTGCTCTCCAGGTTGAACTCGTTGCGGGTGAAGCGTGACAAGAGGTTGCTCTTCCCCACCCCGGAGTCCCCGATGAGCACAACTTGGGGGGGGAGGGGGGACACAAGCACAGCGTCAGCTCCCCTGGACACCCAGCAAAGGCACCCGTCCCACAGCCTGGTAGGGACAGGGATCTCCCCACCTGTCCCACTCTGGACCCCACTTCTATCTCCCTCAGGAGAAGCTGCTGGGTGAGGGGCAAAGCAGAGCAGGATCAGACACCTCCACTCCTCCTGGTAGCATCACTACTGTCCATAAATACCCTTTAAGTAAATTCCTGCCATCAGTGGGAAGTTGCCAGGGGTTTCTGTCCCAGACCTGGGGACAGGAAGGTGTTGTATGCACTGATGTACCCAAAAGGGGTAGAAAACCAGGGTGAGGACCTGTGTAGGAACAGCCAGGCCAGAGGGCAGGCAGAGCTGGGGCTCCTCGTTCCCACCCTCTGTGGCCTCCCACCCTGAGGGCACACAGGAGGACTTAAAGGTCTGAAAGGAAGCATCCTCTTCCTCCTCCTCCTCCACTGCTGCTGGTCCAGCCCCTGAGCTGGTAATTCCCTGGGTGTGGGTTAAGTGCATTTTCTGCCTGTCCCAGATCTGGCCTGTTCTGGTAAAACCTGGTGCAACAGGCTCTGGGGAGCTTTATCACACACCTCCCCCATCAAGTTTGTTGAGTTTATGACTCAACAGGTTGTTGGTTTTTTTTTTTAATTTATTTTTAATTCCCTCGCTGCCAACCCTGTCCTTTCCCCAGGTTCACTCAGACACTTCACTCTGCCCACCCTGTGGGACACTTCTCCCCACCATGGTCAGACAACAGCTGAGGTCATGACCATGCAGTGACCACGATGGGGAGGACACCAGAGCAGTAGCACCAGCAAGGGACCACCAGGATGCTGTACCACTGCAGGAGCTACAGCAAGGCACAGCTACACTCAGCCAAGGCTCAGCAGACACCATCCCCCAAGCACGTTGCTCCATGTCCTGAATAATCCCTGCCCACCAGCTCCAGATCACAGATATGGATCCCTTGCATGAACTGGGGTGCAGCACCTTCAACAGTGCAGCCACTCCCTTGCCAAAACCCTTGGTGAAGAGCAGCCAGCAAACACTTTGGCTCCAGGAAGCCCAGCAGCACATGGAGCAGGTCCCTGGGGTCACCAAGGACAGCTGGAAAGCACCTGAGCCTCACTGGCAATCACTGTGTCAGGACAGCCAGTGACAGAGGGAAGGGCAGCTCCTCCACAGCAGCACGGAACAGTTTGGGTGGATGGGACTTTAAAGCCCATCTTGTCCCATCCCCCATCAGGGACAGGGACATCTTACCCTAGAGCAAGTTGCTTCAACCCTTATCCAACCCAGCCTTGGACACTTCCAGGGATGGGGCAGCTACAGCTTCTCTGGGCAACTTGTGCCAGGGCCTCCCCACCCTCACAGGGAAGGATTTCTTCCCAATATCCCATCTAATCCTGCCCTCTGGCAGTGGGAAGCCATTTCCCCCTTGTCCTGTCCCTCCAGGCCCTTGTCCCAAGTCCCTCTCCAGCTCTCTTGGAGCTCCTTTAGGCCCTGGAAGGGGCTCTCAGGTCTCCCTGGAGCTTTCTCTTCTCCAGATTTCACCCCCCCAGCTCTCCCAGGCTGTCTGCAGAGCAGAGGGGCTCCAGCACTTGGAGCAGCTCCATGGGCTTGCCTGGACTCACTCCAGCAGCTCCACATCCTTCCTGTGCTGGGGCCCCAGGGCTGGAGGCAGCTCTGCAGGGGAGCAGAGGGGCAGAATCCCTGCCTTGCCCTGCTGCCCATGCTGGGGGATGTGCCCAGGACAGCACTGGCTTCTCAGCTGCTGCCCACTGCATGCAGGTCTGGGAGGACCGTGACAGTCTGGAATACTCTGGACCAGCCGACAGGAAAATGCAGGCCAGTGATGAACCAGGCTCGTTAACGCTTCCTGAGCCTCGAAGCTTTGATCTGGGCTCAGTCCTTAACCAAAGGGAAGTTGCTGCTTCCCCAGCTAAACTCCCAACTGCAACTCCCCGGCTGCCACCCCCACCCTGGCAGTGCCGTGAGGCTCCAGAGGGCTTTGGACCACACAGGGGAAGGGGTGGGTGGGCAGGGTCCTGCAACCTCCAGGGGAAATGTGCTGAGCCCCATCCTCCTGAGCCTGAAGGGCACGAGGGGCTGGAGCAGCAAAAGCATTTGACACTATCCATCCTCGCCTCCGAACGCACATCCTGCGAGCACCGGTGAATGTCCTCAGCATGGCACGGCGGGTCCCACTGCAGGGGGGATGGAAACAGCCTGTACCTCCACACAGGGCCCCAGGGAAGGCTCCCAGAGGCAGCCATGCCCATCCTGAGCCCCTCCAGCAGCGTCAGGGCCTTCCCACAAGCACAGATGGAACGAGCATGGTGCTTCACAGCAGCTGATGCTCCCGTGTCAGTGAAACCTGGAGTAACGCTGCTTTCCAGCCGTGGTCACATCCCTTCTCTCAGGGGAGAAGTTGAGCTGCTGGAGCCCAGGAGCACTGGCCCAGCCGCATGTCCCTGGACACAGGGAATGGACAGGCACAGGAGGACCACGAGCCAGAGCCCCCTCAGAGCTGTGCAGCCTGGGGAGCTCCTGCCTGGGTGCCTCACTCAAAGCACCACCCAGCATCAGAGTTTCCCCCTTCACCAGGTCCTAGAATAACTCCAGGGAGGAGGATTTTCCTGGGCAGAGGCCAGGGGAGGTGTGTGAGGAGCCGGGGGGCACTGGCGTGTCGCTGGCTGGAATTACGTCGTGTCGGTGGCTGGAATTACTCGGGGCCGTTCGGGCAAGGCTGTGTGGGCAGGCTGAGTCACTCAGGGCCGCCCCACGGTGAGCTCACGCCCCGGATTTTACGGCTCGGGAGGTTGTGGCGTTGCTAAGATGTCCCCTGGCTTTGCCAAGCACCCGCTCTGGCCCAAAATGTCCCCTTGCTTCACCAGCATCTGCTCCGGCCACAGCAGGATGGTAGGGAAGCCTGGCATGCCCGGGGATGGGGATGCTCCACAGGGTTGCTGGGCTCCCACAGCCAGGAGTGCCAACACTGTGTCTCCAAGGGCCAGTCCCTGTCCCCCCTGTGCACATTGGAGGTGTCCCACCAGGACCAGCACCAGGAAGGACAATCCCAGATCCCAGGATCTTTCCCCTCCACCGATGCCGGGGGCAGCACAGCTTTCCCCCTCCTGGGGTTTCTCACTCAGCCCCTAGACATGCTCCCCACAACAGCCCCGCAGAGGAGAGCAGTCCCAGGCGCTCAGGGGCCAGCACAGCACCCACAGAGCCCCACAGACCAGCCTTGCCAACCGCCCCTAGGGACCAGCACCCTGCCACAGCCACGGCCACCCCTCCTATGACTGTGCTCTCAAGCCAGGGCTCCAGCCTCCTTCCACATCAGTAACGAGCTGCTGTAATTAGCACCAGGACCACAAACCACCAGCCCCGCTCTGAGCAAACCCTCAGACCGTGGCAGCGTTTCAAGCCCAGTCCCACCACTCCCCACCCCCTGCCCAGCACAGGGCAGCACCAAAACAAGCCCACACTGCTGGTCCCCAGCACTGGGAACTGGGTGTTATATCCCAGTACAAGCCCCAGCTTCCAGCCCCATCCCAAGGGTGCTGCACGGAGCCAGCCCTGCCGGCAGAAGGCTGAGACCGGCACAGCTCATTGCAGGCACGGCCGGCACAGCACGGGCAGGACACCCACCTTTGAAGAGGTAATCGTACTCATCGTCCTTGCCCCGCATCTCGCCCAGCACGGTAGTCCCACTCCCACTGGGCCAGCTGGGATTTCCGGGCCTTATCCAGCCCCGGCAGGACCTATCCCCTGCCCCTCATTGGTGGCCACAGCCCTTCCTGCTCCACACCCATTGGCGGCTGGGGCTGCCCGTCATAGCCCAGGTGTGCTCACCTGGGCCAGGTAAGGGGGGGGGGGCAGGTTCTGCGCGGCAGCAGGGACAGGCTACCACCTGTGTGTGCCCCTGATAGGGACAGTGATGGCCACGCACTCCACGCAGAACCGTGGCTGGGACAGGGACCTGGGCAGGGCACGTCTGGCACCGTGCAAAGGGAAAGTGAGTGAAGACACGGAGAATCCAGCAGGAATTTCCAAGGGGTTTTGGATAACTGGCGGAGGCTGCATCATCCTTTGGACTGATGAAGTCCAAACGGGGGATGTGGACTGGGAAAAGCTGCTTGGGGAGGGGCTGCAAGGGGAGCATGGCATCAGGGTGGGAGGAGGCACGGGGGGCCCATGGCATCAGGGTGGGAGGGGGCACGGGGGGCCATGGCATCAGGTGGGAGGGGGCACAGGGGGCCAGGGCATCCAGCTGTGCTGCTCTGGAGGCCACTGTGTCCAGCACATTATGAAGGCGGGGACCCAGGGAGTCGACCACAAACATGCAGGAATTCCAGCTCAGCAAACCTGCATTTCACAAGTCCTTTAATGATTGTGTCACCCCTGCCCTGGACACAGAGCTGTTCCTGGCCCTGCACTGGGTCCTGTCCCACCATGCAGACAAAAGGGACCTTCACGTGGTCCTGCTGTCACACTCGCCCCATGTTTGGGATGGGACAGAAGGGAGCCAAGGGCTGAGTGCTGCCACTCACTCCTTAGGGCTTGGCTCAACTCCAGGGCAGTCCCTGGCAGGATGGGCACCCGTGGGTCAGCCACATCCCCAGCGTGTGGCACAGGAGCAACTCCAGGGCCAGAGGCAATCTGAGAGGCTCCTGTTGCTGGCATGAGCCTGGCCAGGACCTGCTGGCTCCTTCCCCAGCAGTGCCTTGGAGGTATCCCGGTCCTCTGTCCCACAAGTCCAGAGGGACTGAGGCAGTGCATGATGGTGGTGATACTAATCAGGGCCCGGCAAAAACACAACAGAGAGAGAAGAGCTCCCAGCACTGGTGCTTCTCACCATTTATGGCAGAATTTGTCCCCTGTGTGGGCTGCTGGTCCCCACTGCACCAGGACAGGGGTGGCACTGCAGGCAGCACAGCCTGTGCTGGTAGCCAGAGGCAGACCCAGCTCTACGCCACTGGCACGTCCAAGGGCTGTGGGGTGCCCTGGGAGCTTCCCAGGGTGCCCAGGGCTCAGAGGGCCACACAGCATGGGCGCCTCTCCTCCTGTGCTGGGGCCGTGCTTGCAGGGCTCTCGCTGGCAAGTGACACCGTGTTGCTTTGGCTGCTCCTCTGCTTCTGTTTCTGCACTTTGTGGAAGATCTCTGTAAAAGAAGAGGTGCTGGGGGTTCTGAGTGTCAGCCCAGGCCCCTGGGGAAGCAGGGACAGCCTCAAGCCTGCAGCCCCTGCTGCTCACCCATGGCTCTCCTTCCCTCTCTGCAGCAGAGGGGTGAGTTGAAGGGTGACAAAGGAGCAGCTCTGCCAGGTTGCATCCCTGTGGCACCAGGGAAACACCCTGTGCTTGGGCAATTTCCTCTTACCCAATTTGGGATTAGTGATTCGCCCTGTGCCGGGGCTGGTAGCTCACTGGGCCAGGCTGTCTCAGCACAGCCCGGCACAGCATGGCACAGCACAGCGTGGCTTGGCATGGCACGGCACGCCTGGCTGCCCTGGTGCTGCTGGCTGCCCTTCCCAGAGAGCTGCTCCTGCACAAGCCAAGAATCACCCCCTCCATCCCTATCTCCCCAGGTCCCCGTGGCCAGTTCAGCAGGGTGCTGGAGACGTTGAGTCAGGAGCCAAGACAACAGGAAGGGGACTACAGATTATGGGGGAGAAGGAGCCCCTGGGGCTCCAGGAATGCCCAGGGGCCGTGAGAACAAAGCCCCGGGTGTGGGGAGCGAAACGCCCAGCACCAAAGGCTGGAAACCAAACCAGCCAGAAAGACAACACCGAAACCAGCCCCAAAGAGCTCAGGTAGGGCAGGGCAGAGGAGAGAAGCTCTGCACATCCTTTGCCCAGCACTGCATCCCTGAGAAAGGCCCCTGCAGTGGCCCAGGACCCTGCTGCACCATGGCACCGGTGCCCGTACCCCTCAGGATGGTCTCGAATGCCTGCTCGACGTTGGTGGAGTCCAGCGCTGAGGTCTCCACAAACAGTAGCCCTTTGTTTTCTGCAAGTAGAGGAGCCCCCTGAGACAATGCAGGCCTCAGAGAGGGCACGGCTCCACTCTAGAGCCCCTGTAGAGGTGTTCAGGTGCCTGCACTGGTGCAGGTCGCTACTGTCGGGGGGGTTCCCAAGCCCCCAGCCCCTGTGGCAGGGTGCCAGCCTGTACCTGCAAACATTTTTGCCTCCTCCATTGGCACCTCCCGAGCCTGCGCGAGGTCGGTCTTGTTCCCCACCAGCATGACAACAATGCTGGCCTCGGCGTGGTCGTAGAGCTCCTTCAGCCAGCGGTCCACCACGTCGTACGTCTGGTGCTTGGTGATGTCAAACACGACCAGGGCACCCACGGCCCCCCGGTAATACCTGTGGCAGAACCCCACCATCACCCCACGCTCCGGACATCCCCCTCAGCATCACCCCCCAGGCCCCAGAGGGGCCCGGATCCTGGGCATCCCGTCCTTACGCCGATGTGATGGCACGGTACCGCTCCAGCCCGGCGGTGTCCCAGATCTGAGCCTTCACCACAGCGTCTCCCACCAGGATTGTGCGGGTGGAGAACTCCACGCCGATGGTGGTGCGGCTGTCGTGGTTGAACTCGTTGCGGGTGAAGCGGGAGAGCAGGTTGGTTTTGCCCACTCCGGACTCCCCGATCAGGACGACTGTGGGAGGAAGGAGAAATCCCACTGGACTGCCTCCCTACTGGCCTTGGCTGCATGAGCATCACTCATTGCCCAGTGACCCCAGACTGGGCAGGTGTGTGGACTTAACACCCAGTGTGTTTGCTCCCTCAGCAAACTGGGGTCTGTCCCTGTGCCACGAGCTCTCAGCCTCTCGAGTGTGGCTGAGCCCCCTCAGCACAGCCCAGCCATGCTCCCCATCTGCTGGTGCAGTCCCAGAGCCATTCACAAGGGTCACCAGGCTCTGGGCAGCAGGAGCAGGGTGAGGATGCTGGTGGGCCCTGGGTCACCCTGTTGCAGTGGGCACCCAGGATGAGTGGCACACCAGAGCCTGTCCCATCTCTGCTTGCCCAAGGGGAGCTCTGAGCCCCTGTGGGGTCTGGCCAGTAGCACCCAGCAGAGACACAGGATGCCAGGGCCCTGTGCCTGAGGAGCTCAGGTTGGAAGGTGTGAGGCTGTGCCCCTGTTTCTGCAGCCTAGGCTTGATGCCCATGTCCTCTGCATGTGCCACTGCCCTGGTCACCACAGCAGAATGACTTTTCAATGCCTGCTACTCACGGGGGTTATGGCCCACACAACATTTATGTCTCACATGCTCAACCTCAGCTGTCACAGTCCCTTACACCTCACACCAGCAATCCACCCAGCACCCCACCTGAAGCCTTGGGGTGTGTGGATCTCCCCATGACTCCGTGGATCCCAACACCGCTTGTCAGCCCTGGCGTCGCTGCTGTCAGCTGGGGACATGGCCAAGGCCGGTGCCTGCTCCCCAATTCCCTGACCCTTTGCAGCTCCCCCATCACAGCTGCGGGGACAGTCAACAACGTCCCGGTTCAGGACACAGCAGCCCTGGGGAGAAGCCGCCCCAGTTCCCTCCCCGCAGTCCCGGCCTCCTGCTCCATCCCTTTGGGGGAAGAAGGGGGCTCGCACCGAGCGCAGGACTCACCCTTGAAGACAAAGTTATAATCCTCCTCGGCGCTGCCCATATCGCCCCGGCTGCCGCCCGCCCTCGCGGGGCCAGCGCTGGGTTTCCTCCTCGCCGCTGCCAAGCCTCGAGCAGACGGCGGGGCGGGCCGAGCTCCCGGAGGCGCCGAGGGAGGAGACGGAGCGGGCAAAGGTTCCTCTCCGTCGGGGAGCGGGTGGGAGAAGCGAGGGGGGTCCGGTGGGGCGCGAAGGGTGGCGGTGGCGGCGGCGGGGCCGGCCGGGGTTGGCAGCGCAGCGCGGCCCCTGGCTCGAGGGGTGGGACCGGGTGTCGCAGCGCAGGTTGGGCAGGTAGTGTCACCTCTGGGACCGTCACGGGGCGGCCGGAGGAGGAGCCGGGGCCTGATCCTGCCCGAGCGCGGGGCAGGCTGGGGCAGCGAGGGCAGCGGGAACAGGATGGTCAGCACGGGCAGTGAGGGGTGCGAGGGCAGCGTGGGCAGCGAGGGGGGCGAGGGCAGCCGTGCACGAACAGAGCCCCCTCCCTCCCCAGCCAAGCTCCTGCCGGCTCTGAACGTTCCCTCGCCTCTGCTGCCATCGTGTGAAAGTCGGGAAAACTGGGATGGAAAAGAGCCCCCGCTGCCCCCGCTGCCCCAGAGCAGCTGGGCAGGGCTGGGCGGGGGGATCTCTTGTACCTCTCCCCCTTGACACCAGCCCCATTTTTCCCTTGGGTATCGGCTCACTGCAGAGCAACAGGAACCCCAAATCACTGCCCATGCCCCCCCCAGCCCAGCCGGGATGCTTTCCTCCACCAGCTCCCCCTTTTATTCACAACAGACACAAGCATCAGACACATTTTTATTACCCCCAGCTTTTGTGCTTCCCCCACCTCATTTTTAAGGCCACACCAGAGCTCTGGGATGCCCACGGGGCCGCTCACCGTCCACCCATGACAGTGATGGCAGCACCTCCGAGCTCTCCTCTGCCCTGCTCAGGATGCGGCCACCTGTGTGAGTGGCTCCTCCAGGTACTGCACCAGCGCCTGCGCCTGCAAGCGGAGAGCAGAGTGAGCTGTGCCCAGGGGGGTTTTGCCACCTTTGTGCCCGCTGCCCACGTGCTTGTTGCAATTTATATTTCAGTTTAGAGCCTTAAAAAGGTGTGGTGTGGTGCCTGGGTGGGCATGGGGGACAGAGGAGCCTCTGCAAGGAGGAAAGAGGCATCCCAGGCACAGCAGCTTCCTCCATCCCTCCCATCCCCATCCTCAACAGCTCTTTCCCCCACCACAGCAGGGACTCAGCCCTGCGGCTCCCCCCCCAGCCCCCTCCCCACCAGCATTACCTTGGCCTTCAGCATCCCAAATCCCACTGTTTCCTTGGCATACATGCAGAGCAGCAGGTTTGCCACCCGTGTGATGGCCACTCGCCCCTCCTGCCCAGGGAGAAACAGCAATCTGTCACATCCCAGCTTGGCCCGGACCATGGGCAGGGTCCCGGGGGACCCCCAGCACCCCAGGGAGGGGAGGGTAACCCCCAGCCCCACGTACCATGCAGTCCATGAGGATGAATTTGAGGTTGTCCTCGTTGAACGCCTGGTGCCCGTTCTTGTCGTAGGCCACCCAGATGTTGCTGGCGATGGCTGCAGTGACCCTGGCATCGGTGTCCCCGTAGCCAGAGTAGGCCAGCAAGGACCCCTCATTGTTCAGGAGCCTGGAATGACATGGGGGGGTGAACTGGTGCCTCTAAACCCCGTGGGGCACCAGACCCCACTGCAGTGCCAGGGGCAGAGTGAAGCCCTGCCCAGTCCCGAGTGCTGCTCCCTGGACACCCCCCCTTTGCAGGGATTTGGGTGGGTGGGGGGGGGGGTTCAAAGCCAAGAAGCTCTTGGGTGGCCCCAGGCCCAAGCAGGGCTTGGGTGGCTGTGTCTGTTGAAGCACAAGCCTGGTGGGCAAACCCTGTGCACTGTGCATTGCCCTGGCACAGTGCACGGGGACCACAACACTGCACACCCCCGTGTCAGGCACAGCCCCAGCACTGCCCATAGCCCAGGACCATGCAGGGTGTGTGGCCCCAGCCCCAGGCATGCCCCTGGCAGGGCCCCTCACCCTCCTGAGCCAGGACAGGGAGCATCCCTGGGCAGGGGCAGGGATAGGCAGCACCCCAGGCAGGGACAGGAGCAGGGGTGGGGAGCATCCCTGGGAAGGGACTGGAGCAAGGGCTGGGGGCAGGAGCAAGGACAAGCAGCACCCCTGGGCAGGGCCTGAGAGTATCCCCAGGGCAGGAGCAGGGACAGAGGATGGGGCAAGAACAGGGGCAGGAGCAAGGGCAGGCAGCATCCCCAGGCTGGGGAGGCATCTCTGGGCAGGGGAAGCAGCATTCTCAGGGCAGGGCTGGGGCTAGGGCTGGGGCTGGGGCAGGAGCAAGGGAAGGCAGCAACCCTGGGCAGGAGCAAGGGCAGGGGTAGGGGCAGGAGCAAGGGCAAGCAGCATCCCTGGGCAGGGCCTGGGGGGAAGCAGGGACAGGGGATGCGACAGGAGCAAGGGCAGGCGGCATCCCCAGGCTGGGGAGGCATCTCCGGGCAGGGGAAGCAGCATTCCCAGGGCAAGGCGAGGGCAGGGGCCGGGTGCATCCCCCGGGGCAGAAGCAGGAACAGGAACAAGGGAAGGCAACACCCCCGGCCAGGGGCAGGGGCAGCATCCCCCCCTTTCGCACCGCCCGCCCGGCGGTCCCCGCCGCAGCCCCCGTGCGGGGGGCGGGGGGGAAGCCGCCCCGCTCCCGCAGCGCCCCCCGCACTCACAGCGTGCTCTGGACGCCGCCGGTGTTGGCCTGGCTGAGCACCTGCGTCAGGGCCTTGGGCCGCAGCATGGCCGCCCCGGCTGCGCGGGCGGGGCCGGCGCGGGGCGGGCGCGGGGCCGCGCCGCGCCCGGAGCATCCCGGGGGCTGTAGTTCCGGGCCGGGCCCGGACCCCCGGGGGGGCCTCGGCAGCGGGAGGGGACACGGCGCGGGTGTGGGAGCGCGGTGACACCGCGGGGTTGCGGGATGGAGACGAGTACTAATGGGGGGGTCATTGGGGGCACCGGGGGGCCACTGCGGGCAGCACCCCCTGCCCACTCTGCCCGTGCCTGCTCTGCCCCTGCCCGCTTTGCCCGTGCCCGCTCTGCCCGTGCCCGCTCTGCCCCTGCCCGCTCTGCCCGTGCCCGCTCTGCCCCCACTCCCCTTTCCTCCCCACTTTGTCCCCCGAGCGCCCCCCGAGCTGCCCGACCCTGGCCCTCCGGGCCGCCTGGGGGCGCTGTGTCGGGGCGCGGGGAAGGGGCCGGGGCGGCGCTCGCTGCTCTCTGTGGTGGCGGCGGCCCGGGCTGGCGGCGGGCGGCGAAGATGGCGGAGCCGAGCGGTGGCGGCGGCGGCGGCGGCGGCCCCGGGCCCGGGCCCGGCGGGGAGGGCCAGGCGGGGCCCGGCGGGGCGCTCATCCGCGTCACCGTGAAGACCCCCAAGGACAAGGAAGAGATCGTCATCGCGGACGGCGCCTCCGTGCGCGAGGTGAGGGCGGGGGCGGGCCGGAGGGGCGGAGGGGGCCTGGCAGGGGCGTGAGGGGCTGGGGGGCTGGTTCAGGGGGTTCACGGGGCCAGGAGCAGGGTGAGGGTTTTTGGGGAGGGAGCTGAGGTTGGTGACAGGGAGGACTTTGGGGGAGACGTGAGGAGCAGGGAAGGGGGCTCTGGCTGGCGGAGAGGTTGTCAGGGTGTCCGGTGTGGCTCTCGGGGACCGGGTCAGAGCTGGAGGGGCGGCCCAGGGGTCCTTAGGGCAACCCGGGCCTTTGAGGCCTTGTTGGAGCCGGGCTGGGAGGGAGCCGGGAGAGCGGGGAGGGCGGGTGCTGGGGGCTTCGGGAAGGACAGTCCCCGTTGGGGGGAGTTGGTCCGGGGTGCGGGTCACTCGTGGGAGGGGTCGTGGATGTCGAAACCGCGTTTGTTGCGGGCGCGTGAGGGGTGTGCGAGCGCTCGGAGCGCAGCTTCTTGGCGGAGGTGGCAGCTGTGGGAGGGGGTGTGAAGGACGGGGTGGGGTCTGGGGGCTCGGCCCGTGGGCCGGGCAGCGGGGGAGTGGGAAGGGAGGAGTTCCCTGAGCGGGGCGGGGTGGGAAGGGTTTTGGGATTGGGGGCAGAGCCGGCTGGGTGCGTGGGGAGCTGCAAGGGGGGGGAAAGGTCGGGGTCGTGGGGTGGGTCTGGACCCCCCTGGAGGCGGATCCCCGAGGCGAGGGGAGAGGAGCCGGGCGGGTGTTTGGGGCCAGGGTTGGGTGGGGAGGAAGAAGAGGAGCATCAGCCCTTCCAGGGGTGGGCTGGTGGGGTTCTGCTCCTGCCAGGGAGCAGGAGGGGGCTGGGATTGGCAAAGGCTGGGATTGGCAAAGGCCGCCTCCGGGGCTGGCCCCAGCGCCGTGGAAGTGACAGTGCCCACTGGGACAAGGTGTCATCGGCACAGCCGGGGCTGGCAGCGCGTGTTGGTCGGGCACAGGGCATGAGGTCGGCCTGTGAAGGACGTGGCAGGAAATCTCTGGGCAGCAGGGCACGGCATAGGTGTAGGCACGGGCTGTGCACGTGTGGCCCTCCTGCTCCTTCCTCCCCCCATGGGCTCCAGGGAGCCCGTGGGTACAGGGGGTGTGGAGTGAGGGCTCTGTGCAAGGGAGGGGCCTGGAGCTGTGTGGGGAGGGACATGGAGCTGTGCAGGGAAGGCACAGAGCTGTGGGGCCAGGGTGACCTTTGGCCAGGGCTGTGCTCTCCGCAGCCTTGTTTTTAGGGTTCTGGTGTGAAGGCTGGGAGCTCTGGGGCAGACATGTGCTTTGCACTCTGTGCTGGCCTTCCCCTCTGAATTCCCTGTAGTTTGTGGCTTCCAAGTGCAAGGCTTTGTTTCCTCCCAGTCAGTTTGGGAATGCCCTGGCGGGGCCAGCAGTGACAGTGGTGTTGGCAGGTGTTAATCCCAGCACACCACACAGTAAGGAAGAGATGCCCATGCTCCGTGGCGAGCTCACAGGGAATTCGGTTGCAGAAATAGGAATTGGAGAAGACCTAGTTTATTTCCATTGGCTGATAAAGGATTGTTCCCTTTTCCATAGAGCTCTGTCCTGTATTGAATCAGAGCTGGGCTTTCCTTAGGAAAAAAAGCTCAAATGAGCAGAGACAAAACCAGTTCAGTCATTCAGAATAAACGGTGTGTTTGAGTTAGGCCTGAGACACACTTGGTCTGGCTTTGGAAGCCTTCGGCTCTTCCCGAGGGAATGGCTCTGTTCTTTCCAAGATTTACTCCATGTTTTGTCAGTGCAGAGCTTGTTTTGGTTTTTCCTAAACACCTCAGACATCCTCAGCAACTGGTGCCTGAGTGGTAGATGGGCTCTGAGGGCTTGTGCTGTTCCCAGGGTGGATCTGATCCCTGGAGCTTTACATTTCTGGTCTCGGTCCTTCTGGTCTGAAAAATGCTCTGTTTGTTTTCCAGTTCAAAGAAGAGATTTCCAGGCGGTTCAAAGCCAAACAGGATCAGCTGGTTCTGATCTTTGCTGGGAAGATCCTGAAGGATGGAGACACATTGAATCAACACGGGATCAAAGATGGGCTGACTGTGCACTTGGTCATTAAGACCCCGCAGAAGTAAGAGTTTGGTCTGGGGGGCTGAGGGCAAAGGAGGGCTGGGAATAGCTGATGATAAAGTTCCTGATGAGCTTTCCCAGGCTCTCCCTGCC